AGGAAAGTTTGCAGTTTGCATTTTTGGGGAAGTTTGCATTTTTGGGGAGTTTGAAGTTTGCATTTTTGAGGAAAGTTTGCAGTTTGCATTTTTGGAGAAGTTTGCAGTTTGCATTTTTGGGGAGGCTGAAATTTGCATTTTTTGGGGAGGTTGAAGTTTGCATTTTTGGCAAAGTTTGAGGTTTGCATATTTGCATTTTTGGGGAAGTTTGCATTTTTGGGGAGGTTGAAGTTTGCATTTTTTTGGAAGTTTGAAGTTTGCATTTTTGGGGAAGTTTGCATTTTTTGGGAAGCCGAAGTTTGCATTTTGGAAGGTTTGCAGTTTGCATTTTTGGGAAGGCTGAAATTTGCATTTTTTTGGAAGTTTGAAGTTTGCATTTTTGGGGAGTTTGAGGTTTGCATATTTGCAAAGTTTGAGGTTTGCATTTTTTGGGGAAGTTTGACATTTGCATTTTTGGGGAGGTTTGCATTTTTTTGGTAGTTTGAAGTTTGCATTTTTGGGGAGGTTGAAGTTTGCATTTTTGGAGAAGTTTGAAGTTTGCATTCTTAGTAAAGTTTGAAGTTTGCATTTTTGGGGAGGTTTGAAGTTTGCATTTTTGGAGAAGTTTGCAGTTTGCATTTTTGGGGAGGCTGAAATTTGCATTTTTTTTGGAAGTTTGAAGTTTGAAGTTTGCATTTTTGGGGAGGTTGAAGTTTGCATTTTTGGCAAAGTTTGAGGTTTGCATATTTGCATTTTTGGCGAAGTTTGCATTTTTGGTGAAGTTTGAAGTTTGCATTTTTGGGGAGGTTTGCATTTTTGGGGAGGTTTGCATTTTTGGGGAAGGTTGAAGTTTGCATTTTTGGAGAAGTTTGAAATTTGCATTTTTTGGGAAGCCGAAGTTTGCATTTTGGAAGGTTTGCAGTTTGCATTTTTGGGGAGGCTGAAACTTGTATTTTTTTGGAAGTTTGAAGTTTGCATTTTTGGGAAGGTTGAAGTTTGCATTTTTGGCAAAGTTTGAGGTTTGCATATTTGCATTTTTGGAGAAGTTTGAAGTTTGCATTCTTAGTAAAGTTTGAAGTTTGTATTTTTGGGGAGGTTGAAGTTTGCATTTTTGGGGAAGTTTGCATTTTTGGGGAGGTTGTGTCAAAGCATTCCTGTGCTGAGCTGTGTGTTCAGCTCCTGAAGGACACACTGCTCTCCAGCACGCACCAGTCACTGTTCCCAGTGATGCTTTTGGTGCAGGACTGGTATAATTTGCTTTTCCTCTCTCCTGGGCAAAGGTGGGCACTTTCTGCACCTCACTTGTTCCTCCCCTGTCTTTACATGCATATCTACCTGTATATCTGGATTCAAGCTTTTGAGGAAATACAGATTCTCACACAGGGATGCAGAATGTAAATGATTTTCCCATTTAATAGAGTTTTGAACCTTGCAGCAGTTTAGTGGAGACTGAAGCAGACTTGCAGCAAGTTAGAAAAGTTAACAAGTGCATGCTTGTGTGTACATCCAGTATTCCAGATATTCCACACTGCAGCCACTGAGGTCAGCCCAGCATATTTTATCCATTGTAGTGTGTGAATTAATCTGAATTCTCCATCTCCTTCAGATTTAGCAGCAATGGTTCAGTGAAGTCATTACATTAATTTTCTAAACTGATTTTTCTAAGATGGGATTTTTAGACCTTCAGTCTTTGATGGCAGCAGTAAAGCTGAGCTCTGTTTTGCAGGCACGTGCATCGGGAACACGGACAGCCGGCACTTCAGCAACGTCACCAAGGCCATTTACAGGTTCAACCCTCTGCTGCTGGC